GATTTTGGTAGAGGTGCAAACACCCAAACCATAGCACAATATGACCCAGCAACTCCATTCTTAAGTATATACCCAAGAGAAATGAAAACATATGTTCACACAAAAACTTATATAGTTGTTTGGAGCAGGACTATTTGTAATCGCCAAAAAAATGGAAACGACCCAAATGTCCATCAGTTGATGATGGAAACAAAACGTGTTATATCCAATGAAATACTATTCAGCTATAAAAAGGAATACTGGGCCCGGCATGGTGGCTCATGCCTATAATCCAAGCACTTTGAGAGGCTGAGGTGAAAGGATCACTTGAGCCCAGGAGTTTGAGGCCAGCTTGGGCAACATAGCAAGATCTCATCTTTACAAAAAATAAAATATAATAAAATTCTGGCTCTGCGTGGTGGCTCACGCCTGTAATCCCAGCACTTTGGGAGGCCGAGGCAGGCGGATCATGAGGTCAGGAGTTCAAGACCAGCCTGGCCAATATGGTGAAACCCTATCTCTACTAAAAAATAAAGAAATTACCATCCTGGCTAACACAGTTAAATGCCATCTCTACTAAAAATACAAAAAATTAGCCAGGCGTGGTGGCAGGTGCCTGTAGTCCCAGCTACTCGGGAGGCTGAGGCAGGAAAATGGCGTGAACCCGAGAGGCAGAGCTTGCAGTGAGCCAAGTGCGCCACTGCACTCCAGCCTGGGTGACAGAGGGAGACTCTGTCTCAAAAATAATAATAATAATAATAATAATAATAATAAAATGTGATCATAATTTGAGAAAGGCTGCTCATTCTAACCCTACATAAAAACAAGGAAAGCAGCAATATTATTGTAAAAACCCACCAACTGCTTCTTTTCTCCATTGCCAATGTCGGATTGGGTGAATTCTACCTTAAAAAGCACTGGGTTGCCTCGGTTTATTTTGCATCATCCAAAGGCCCTCTAAAGATCTCTGATTCACAGACCCTCACCCCAGACAGATTTTATACACAGGCTCTCCCAGTCTCTTTCTTTCCATAGAACTCCAGTGAGATTGGGCTCATTTCTATCCCTCAGTTAACAGAGAACTGATCAGGAGTGACTGACAGAAATCATCTACCAAAAATAACCAAGCTTGCCCAAGGAAAGTAACTTTCGCCTGGCGCGGTGGCTCACTCCTGTAATCCCAGCACTTTGGGAGACCGAGGCGGGCGGATCACCTAAGGTCAGGAATTCGAGACCAGCCTCAACATGGAGAAACTCCGTCTCTATTAAAAATACAAAATGAGCCAGGCGTGGTGGTGCATGCCTGTAATCCCAGCTACTCAGGAGGCTGAGGCAGGAGAATTGCTTGGACCTGGGAGGCGGAGGCTGTGGTGAGCCGAGATCGCGCCATTGCACTCCAGCCTGGGCAACAAGAGCAAAACTCCGTCTCAAAAAAAAAAAAAAAAGTTAGCCGGGTGTGGTGGCGGGTGCCTGTAGACCCAGCCTCTGGGAGGCTGCGGCAGGAGAATGGCGTGAACCGGAAGGCGGCGCTTGCAGTGCGCCGAGATCGCGCCACTGCACTCCCAGCCTGGGGAACAGAGCGAGACTCCGTCTCAAAATAAAAAACAAAAAAACAAAAAAAAAAGAAAGTAACTTTCTTTCCATGCTTCTTCCTCTAAACCTAGTATCTTTTAAGTAAAATAGTTAGTCTGACTCTTAAAAAGAATAAAACTAAAGGCCGGGCGCGGGGGCTCATGCTTGAAATCCCAGCACTTTGGGAGGCTGAGGTGGGTGGATCACGAGATCAGGAGTTCGAGACCAGCCTGACCAACATGGTGAAACCCCGTCTCCACTAAAAATACAAAAATTAGCCAGGCGTGTGGCGTGTGCCTGTAATCCTAGCTACTCAGGAGGCTGAGGCAGGAGAACTGCTTGAACCTGGGAGGTGGAGGTTGCAGTGAGCTGAGATTGGGCCACTGCACTCCAGCGCAAAACTCCGTCTCAGGAAAAAAAAAACAACTCCAGAAAAGGAGTTGTCGAGCAAAATAAACTTTAGATTTCAACCAAATTTTGAGAGATCAGGGATTCTCTGGAGGAAGAAGAAAACTATCAGGTCCAGGTTAAAGGCAACACTATTGTTGTTATTACCTTTTCCAGGACAGGAAAGGCAAGCCCAGGGTGAACAAACGTCTTTTGGGCACCTACTAAGTGGCAGGCCCTGTGAGGTAGACACAAAGTCACAATCGATGGCCTCCAGGAGCTTGCATTCTAGTGGGAAAACAGAAATGTAGTTATTTCCATCATAAAACCACGAAGTAAATATTAAACAGGGATAGGACCAGTTTGTCCTGACTGCAGGAGTGACTACTTCTGACTAGGAAATCAGGAAAGGCTTCATGTCTGTTGTACCTGGCTTACACTTAGAAGGATATGCATGATTTTGATAGAAGAGTTGGAATGAGCATAGGAGGTTAGAGGGAACAGCATGAGGGATACATGAAAATAAATAGAATGCATAGTACATCAGATGTAGGGCAGGATGTGGAAGGGAAATGTAATCAGGATCAGATTGAAAAAGGTTGTAGTTCCGGACAGGCGCAGTGGCTCACACCTGTAATCCCAGCACTTTGGGAGCCCAAGGCGGGTGGATCATGAGGTCAGGAGATTGAGACCATCCTGGCTAACACGGTGAAACCTCGTCTCTACTAAAATACAAAAAAAATTAGCCAGGCGTGGTGGGGGGCCCCTGTAGTCCCAGCTACTCCGGAGGCTGAGGCAGGAGAATCGCTCAGGAGGCGAAAGTTGCAGTGAGCCGAGATCGCGCCACTGCACACCAGCCTGGGTGACAGAGCAAGACTGAGTTTCAAAAAAAAAAAAAAAAAAGGTTGTAGTTCCATGTTTGCGTTTGTACTTTGTACTTATCAGTGGCATCATAGAGGACTTTTTTGGCAATAAGAAGTTTGGAGGCTGAGCATGGTGGCTTATGCCTATAAACCTAGCACTTTGGGAGGCCAAGAGTTCAAGACCAACTTGGCCAACATAACAAGACCCTATCTTTTCAAATAATTTTTTTAGGAATTTTTATTTTTCAAAAAAAAGTTTGAAGCCAATACATCCGCCAGGACCCCTGCAATGATGATGGGGAGTTACTCAAGCAGTAAATGTAGGAATAGAGACAACAGACAAGATACAGTAGAATTGACTGAATTGACTGAACATGGAAAACTAAACCAGAGAAGGGTCAAAACATGATTTACCCTCCAAGACCCAACCATGTATAGGGATCTTTCAGAGTCAGCCATTTAGTGCCCCCTGGTGGACAGATGAGGCCATCACAGCATTAACAGCAACAAGTCACTTAGGTTGTTTCATTCTTCCAGTAAAAAGTTTATATTGAACACTATCCAGACCCTCATTAATCAGCCCCTGCAGAAGCCACAGAGATCACCAGGCACTATTTTAGGTGAATCTAGTTAGGAGAAAAGATAGACCTCAAATGCCTAACCCATAACAAGGTAGAATAAATGACAAAATGCTAAAATATGTGGTGGGTAACACTGACATGAGATTTTAGAAAATACTGCAATTTGAGGTGGGTTAAGGCTTCAGATATAACAGTTTTGTGTTTGTTTTGTTTGTTTTGAGACGGAGTCTCGCTGTCACCCAGGCTGGAAGTGCAGTGGCTCAATCTCAGTTCATCTCCATCTCCACCTCTTAGGTTTAAGCGATTCTCCTGCCTCAGCTTTCAGAGTAACTGGGACTACAGGTGCAAACCACCATGCCTGGCTAAGTTTCATATTTTTGGTAGAGACGGGATTTCACCATGTTGGCCAGGCTGGTCTCGAACTGACCTCAAGTGATCCGCCCACCTCCGCCTCCCAAAGTGCTGAGATTACAGGCATGAGCCACTATGTCCAGCCACAGAGTCATTTCTTTAACATACGATTTTTGAAGAGCATCCAGGTCAGAGGCAATTGTGAACAAAACATCCTGAGAAGTAAATGAAAAAATAGTCAGTTTGAAATACTAAGGAATTCTATAGGCAACAAAGTCTGAAGGCTCGAGCTGGCTAACGATGTAGTGTTCAAGTTTTAAGACCAATCTGACAATTGAATAAAAAATGGAGAAATTACGATGCTCAAGACAAATTTTAGATATGAAAACAGTGAAAGCCAGCTGTGAAGTCCTAATAAACTGATCCTTGCCAGGCGCTGCGGCTCACAACTGTAGGAAGGCCAAGCCAGGACTGCTTGAGCTCAGGAGTTTGGGACAGCCTGGGCAACATAGCAACAAAAATTAGCCAAGTGCAGTGGCAGGCACCTACAGTCCCAGCTATGTAGGAGACTGAGGTGGGAGGATCACTTGAGCCCAGGAGGTTGAAGCTGCAGTGAGCCACTGCACTGCAGCCTGGGTGACAAAGCAAAGACCATCTCAAAAAAAAAAAAACGGTCCAATCAATGTAAGTTAGCTAGACACATTGAATGGTTACTGTATTGTTGGAAAAAACAAGCTTTCCCATTGTCTGTTGGCTAAGTGTATTTTGTCTTTTGCATTTCTTGGGCCCACCTTGAGGTAGAAAAGTAGCTGGGCGCAGTGGCTCACGCCTGTAATCCCAACACTTTGGGAGGCTAAGATGGGAGGATTGCTTGAGAAAAGCCTGGTCAACATAGTCAGACCCCAAAGACAAGAAACGTTAACCAGACCTCAATCCAAAGCTCTAGGACTACTGGCATGGATAGTTCATTTGCATGTAAGTTGTATCAGGAGCACACAAAAGCGCCATGAGGTCAGTAATTCGGTTACTCTTTTACTTTCCCAGGCTTATTTCTCTCTCAAATGCCAATCGGGGTTCCATGTTATCCAGAAAACCTATCATTGTCAACTAAACACATAATGTTCCTGCTAGTTGTAATTTAACTCCTACTCCTTAATTCACAAGTGGCAACCTCCCTTCCACAACACCAGTACTTCTACCGCAAAGCAGAATTAATAGCCATCTGTGATCTAAGAGAGAATAGGAAGATAAATAATCCTTACACCCAAAAGGCCAAACAATTTTTATTTTCAAAAACAACTTTATTCATGACACATATTAAAAAAAAATTCCCACCCCTGGAAATGAGCTAAAAAAATAAACAAAATCCACCTCCCACCTCCCTGTTCCCACTTCCTCCCATTCCCTCCAAATAAAAGGGAAAAAAGGCAAAGGAAAAAAACAAAAAAACAAAACAAAACAACTGAAAAACAAAAACACCCCTAAACCCCCCAAAACAAGGTAGTGCATTTCCCCAGGGGGAAGGGGAATTTACACTGGAGCCGCTGGGAGCGGATCGGAGATCTTCCGGCTACAGAAACCTGCAAAGAAAGACACTCAAAACAGAAAAAGAAACACAAAAGGAAACAAAATAGATCACCAGGCAATCTGGAGGGGCAGGGAGCCGGAGAAGAGGGGTGGGGTGGGTGGTAGACCTGGCTGGACAGGAGCAGGCAGGAGGGGACTGTGAAAGGCGAGAAGACGGAGGGAAGGTAACAAGCAGAACAGTTTGGTGTCCTTCCAGAGCCCTGGGTAAAAAAAAAACCTCCTACCACCCACGCCCACCTACCCTTGAGCAGCCCCCAAGGGGACGAAGTGGGGCAGGGAAACATGGGGAGCAGCTTGCGCAGTTGAGACGTGTCCATGGCGAATCCCCAGAGTGAATAAGCAGCCCCCTGCCCCACTCCCTGGGCCTTCCCCTACTCCCCAAAGCAGGTCCCTCCTCAGCAGTTAGTTATGGGATTCTCCCCCCTTCCACAGTATATCTTTTTTTTAAAAAATATTTTTTTTCCATCAAGGTCATCTTCTGTTTTTCTTTTTTTTTTTTTTAATTCTTTTTTTTTTCCTTCTTTCCTCTTTTTTTCCTCTCTCTCCTCCTAATACACACTTTTTTTAGTAAGGGGAATACCATGATGTCGCTCTAGCCCGGCCCCTGGAAGAAAGAAGGAGAGTTAGGTGTTAACGTGATCACTAGATAGTTCAGTACAAGCCCCTCCCCGTGGGCCCTTGACCCAGTTACTGTGAAGGGAAGTGGGGAAAAGAAGTTTTCAAGTGTCCTAAAACTGACCCCATGATCCCAGAAATAGTAACACACCTTGAGAACTGGGGCAGGGGGAGGGGGGCTTAACAGAAAACTTTGCCAAACAGTGGCAAAAAAGAAGTGCATCTGAGTGAGAAACAAGGGCAAGAAAAACGACCCTCTTTTTATCCAGTTTTCAGTCCTCCACAGCTCTTATACCCTAGGCCATCACAAATAGATCCTCCCTAACTCCTGGGAATAGGCAGGTAGAGTTTATGAAAAGCCAAGGTTTATATGCCTAACCTGTCTATTTAAATGTAAAGAGACAAGTGAAGCAAGGCAAAAACCTGGACACCACACTAGGCCCAGTGAGAAGTTAACCTTGCAAGACTGGCTCAAATAAAGAGTAAATATCTCAAAATCCTCCCACAAGGCTGTTGGGGAGGATCAACTAGCTAGCCTCTGGTATTCTTCCAAGGGAGGTTCAGTCTTCAACCCCTCCCTCCGAAAAAAGAAAAAAGTAACAAATGTCCAAGCAGTGCTTTCACTGCCTGGAGGCCCTGTTCCTCCTGGCTTCGTGTAAACACCTTCAAATGCCACCAACTCCCAAGAAAAAAAAGGCTGGGGGTGGAAGCCTCTTTGAACCAAGGGAGGGATGCAGCCCTTATCACCAATTCCTACTGCAGAAAAGATGATGAAGTTGGCCTACTGGCCTGGCCTGCAACTACCTTCCTCACCCTGCACAGGCAGGAGACAAAGTTCCTGAAGACCACAGGGAGGGGTGGGGGAGGGAGGTTCCTCAGACCAGGAGAGAAGGAAGCATACAGGGCTCAAGGGAGGCGGCGGGGGGGAAGAGGAGCAGCCCATCTATCCTGACCTGTAGACACGACCCCGGGGCCTGCTGTTAAAACCACTGTAGAATCGAGAGCGGGAACTGTTGTAGTTGGTGGTCCGGGCGCGGTAGCGGGCTCGTGGAAAACCCCGGTCTGTTGTGCTGATGCCTGGTCTGTTGGTTCGTTTTGGGATCACCTGAGTCAGAGATGAACAAATGATAGCCTTAAAGTCAACCCAGAGAGTTTATACAGAACCAGAACAGCAATGGACATAGGCTTACCTTGATTTGCCTTCCTCTAAATAGGGACTCATCTAAGGCCAAGGAAGTCCTCACTGACTCTTTGTCTGAGAACTCTATATACGCAAATCTGAAAAGAATTGTCATTGTATCTCTCTGAGGTTACAAATACCTCACAAGTCAAATTCAACTTGCAGGCATGCTTCTTTTTGGGCTACAATGTGGTTACATTTTTTATTTGTCAAAATTCTTCTAAATGGAAAATTTCACTCAAAATCATTTAATTTTAAAATTTCCAGCTACTCTTTGAAACTTGTAAAAATAAGACACACAGGGCCTGAATTTCCATATGGCCATAACAGGCCAAGTAGAAGCTGCCCCTCCCCTTCTAGTTTGTGATCCCACCCACACCTAGCCTTCATTTTTGTTATCTGGCCTCTGAAGACATTTAGGTGCAACTCTTGATACATATCAAAATTGATGCCATGATCTTAAATGACACAGATCACCTGTGTTAACAGCAAATAACTTACTGCTCACTATAAAACATAATTTATCTATTTTTGCACTGTAAATTATCTCAACTTACTCCCCTTTACTTACCCTTTGGGATGGCCACTAAATTTGTCACAGAGTATGGTAACACGGTTGACTGATCCACAGCCATGAAAGTGAGCTTCCAGCTCTTCTGCTGTTGCACCATAGTCCACCTGATGAGAGGAGAAAAATTTCACAGGCACCAGGCAAATTCCTGTCTCAACAGGAACCCTCCCTAGCCTTTGGTCTGGGCCATCTATACACCAAAGCACATGAAATCTGGTAATTTGAGGAACTAATCCTTTTGCTTCCAAACCCAGAGCCTTTGCTGATTACTGATCATTCCATTACCTTTAACCTCCTTCCCACACTCCCTCCACACACCCCCAAAACCACACCGATCCCGGAGATGTTCCTTCCAGGACTATTAAATAACTCCCCAAAAGAAGAACTTGCCCCCAACCCCAATCAGAGCCCCAGCACATACATTGCCAACATAGATGGAACGGGCATCAGCCTCCATCTTCTCCTCAATGGACATGATCACTGGGCCAGCTATCAGGAAAAAATAATATTTTTAAAAAACCACACACTTGTTTTTGCACTTCCACCACCAGCACTATCCCATTAGCTCAACGAAGGCAAAGATTTTGGTCTGTTCTGTTCTCTGCTGTACCCATAACCTAGAATAGTGCCGAGTCCATAGCAGGTACTCACTAAACATTCGATAAATTGAAAGAATAAACTAATACACACTTACAACAGTATAGGAATCCCTCCTGCCTCCAAATCAAATCCCTAATGAATGGCTTTGGCTGAAATGCTTTTAAGAGTGAGCAAAATTAAGTGGGCTGAGACTCCACATTTCTAGATTAAAGGGGAAACCCCTTGCAGCTTGCTTTCTCTTAGAATCCTAACTAAAGCGTTTCCAATTGGAAGAAAACTATTAGATTTGAAGGTCAAATGCGAGCTTGCAACCTCTACAAAGGATAGACGTAGACTAAGAACAAAGAGCAACACAATTATAACAGGGACAAAGGGAAGCACAAGGCTACCACCACCAAAATACAGGTTCTGCCTCACAAAGGTCAGGCGAACACACAACGGATTATGACCGCGGCACAGTCATAATAGCTCAGACAAGCAGCTCCAGGGTGCCGAGTATCTTACCCCACATTCCCCATCTTCCCCACAACCCTTCCAGCCCAAGAACCCTGGCTCCGCGTGCAACCGCCAGTTACTCACCATTGCCTGGAGGTGGACTCATATTCATCTGCTTCTCTACCTCGTTCTGTAGCTCCTTTAGCTTCTCAGCTTCTTCCTCCATCTCCCTGACTCGAGCTTTGATAGCTTCCAGCTCCTAATATAAGTGGGGAGGGTATGGAGGAGAGCTTAAGAGGAACCAACGCAGGGGCTGTGCCCTGCTCTCGGCCGGAGCGCGGCCTCAGCCACGCTCGGCCATTTCCCTCGCCCCATGCGAGGGTCGTGATAAAAGAAAAGCAAGCTACCCTCTCTAGAACAACACTAGGCACCCGTGACGCCCGAATCAAGCCAGCCGGGCCCCTTGTAGTGATCGCTGACCCATCCCCGGCCCGACCCGGCCCCAGCCACGTTATTCCCCGCCCAACCCCACCC